GACAAAGGATAAAGCATTTGCCGTTGATCAACCCCTTTTTGGGATGAGGCACGCATTCTTCTTCAGTTTGTACATTCGTAGTGGCGTTTGAATGCGATGTGGCCTATACAATGACTTGCGGGGCCAGCCGATGTACAAGTCAGTGTTTTTATCCTCCCAGACAAGTCTGGTACCAATTAACCGACCCCGGAGGGATGGAAGGCTTGGTTGGCCCGGGCGACTCACGACCCAGGATTTGATCCCCGGACCGCTCGCGTGGTAAGCGTGCCACTTGCCACTACACCACTTCCGCCCTTTAATATCCTTTTGTGCCCTCTCAAAATTCTTTTCTGAGCTGAAGAATGTGCTTTTCGCATCACATACCTAAGGAGCAAAAATGCGTATTTCGTTCTGAAATGTGTCGAGGAAGAATCTAAGAAATGTCTCTGGGTCTACGACGATTCATATTCACTACCGTCAGCTATGCTCTTATCTAACTTTGAGCTGAATTTGTATAGATGAAAAGATCTCTTATTGACGCGTTATCGAAGAGCAAGAGAAGCGCTATGCAAGAGTATCCCTGGATGCCACAATACTTTCAAATAATTGCAGGTCGAAGAGATTATGCGCCACAACAAGGCCGAAAGTTTCATCAAAAACATCACAGAAAATCGCATTCGAAGTCAGGTGAGTTTCTAATCTTTCTTTATCGTAGTGCTTGATCGAAGCAGCTCAACTCATTCAACAGCTGTCTACAGCTGGCTGTTTCTGCGGCTCATTGATATGGTGAATGGGAGTCTGATGAACGTCACCATTAATCAAGCAGTTGTCAAGGGTTGTGGATTAACGAGATCAACTAATTCTCACGTATATGGTTTTAGGTGAAATTCCCTCAAGACGAGGATTTGTCCGGAGCTGCCACCGCTATTCTTCGACTTCAAGATGTCTACCGACTTGACACCACCGACCTTTCAAACGGCATAATCCTTGGCGATAAAGTTGCTCACAGGCTCACAGCTCATGATGCATTCGAGGTGAACTCTTCTAATTGCAACACGGCGAACTATTAGTAAGGGTTCCCCACGTATACGTATACGTAAACGTAAGTATTGATTCACGGTTATGAGTAATCGTATTTGTATTAACACATTGCGTACCGCGTGCGCCACCATGTGGCGCACGATTTCGCACGAAACAGCATAGTTTAATCTGATTTATTTGACATTTTTCAATGCTCCTGAACTGTTTGCACTCATTTTCAGAGCCGGGAAACCATACGTGTCATCACTGATAAAATTGTTGATAGATGATGATACATTTTTGAAAAATATAAAAAAGGTACGAAGGTGCTCATACAACGGCGGTCCGCAATGCGTTAAAATATGAACAGTTTGTAAATAGTTGCAGGAAGGGAGAGGCTGTCTCATTGAGAGATACGTTCAAGGTATTTTGCCGAAAGTATGAATTAAATTTTTCTTAGGTTGGACGAGCTGCATACAACCAACGAGACTACTACCATACTTTGACCTG